AGGCAGTGAAGGACAGGAAGGCCTGGCGTGATATGGTTCATGGGGTCATGAAGAGTCGGACTTAATGACTGAACAACAACAACAACTTAATGACTGAACAACAACAACAAATTCACGTGTAGGGACTTAAGAGACATACACTGAAATTCTGGATAATAGGACTTCAAAATATAAATACCTATGCATTTGCCATAATTTGCATTATACAGGTAGTCCTCACTTAACGACCATTTGTTTAATGACAGTTTGAACTTACAACGGCTTCGTAAAAAGTGCTTTACAACCTGTACTCGCACTTACGACCGTCCCAAACCATTGCACCATCTCCATGGTCATGCGATCACAATTCGGGCACGTGGCAACCGGCTCACATTTATGACTGGTTGCAGTGTCCTGCGGTCATGTGATTGCCATTTTTGGATGGTAGGAACCGGTGACATCACCTGTAACTCAACCCCCTCCTCTGTGAATACAAGCACCAGGATTGTTTTCTAGCTTCTGCCACCTTAAGCACTGCTATCCAGTTTGTTTGCTGCACTTTAGTTTCTTCTAGTCCAGTCCCTACACTTTCATTGGCTACTTCTCAGAGGCAGAAATGGCCCCACATTTAATTTTCCTCAAGAAGTCTGTTGCAGTGCCCGTTCTTGCAAGTGTTACTCACTGGTTTAATTATTACAATGTTTGCCTGACTTGCAGAGTATTCATGATCTGAATCTATGTCGGATTATTCTTTAAAGTCTGTATTTCTTTCCCTGAACTATCTACTGCTGAGACTTAAGTCTTCCAGTGCGATTCTTAAAAGCCAGCAGAGAAGTTGTCCAATGGAAAGACATAGTAGCCTGAACCCTTAGCAAGCTGCTGTCAAGACATCTCAGTCCACACAGCACTTTTTTAAACCAGGTTACAGACAAGGCAGCATGAACACAGAACAAGAACAGTTTATGGCACAGTTCAGTACTGTACAGATCCTGTAGTTCCTTAAAATAACAAACAAGTCATATTTATGATTACTCTTATCTTCCAATGCCAGAATTTTTAAATTAAGATGTGGCCTGTAAATACTTCCATTTGTCAAACAAACCTGAAAATTTCTGAGGATCTATTTTTAAACCCACCATTTGATAAATGTGCATGTAATAAATATATATGTAACAACTATGTAATGACCAAGAAATGAATTGAATTACAGTTGAAATATAAGTACTTAGAGTTGTATACTTAGTATAACCGTATACATATTCACTCAGAAATAAATTCTGTGCAGCATTAAGGCTTTAAAAAATTCTCAAATTAAGATGTATTCCTTTCCTCTTTTTGCTTGTTTAGCTCTTTATATGTTGTGGAGGTGAATCTAAAAATAGAAACTAATTTGGCTCTGGTCTTAGTGCTATCTTTAGCATCTCATTTGGTGGTCCAGCTTGGAATCAAAATTTTGTGTTGCCTAGGTTTCTTGGCTTAACGCAAAATAGTTGCTTGTGTGTATTTCCAAATTTTCTGAGCATTCATTTCATTTTACTTACGATAAAAAAATGTTCTGCAAACAAGAAAAGAACTGTGAAATTATTTTTATCATAAAGTGCACATTGATAACATAATTCATAACAAATCATTAGGTAGTGGAAATATCAGTTTAAAATCTCAGGATAGCACTGTTCTGGAATAGTTAAAGCAACAATAACAAAGATGACCCAAGATATTTTGATGCTTGAAGGAGAAAATCTAAAGTGTGTTTTAACTGATCAATGTGATGAAGTGATTGTGTTGGATCTCACAAAGCTGATGGGCAGAATATTTCATGTTGTCTTTTTCTACACAAAATAAACACATAATGTAAAAGATATGTTGTACTAATTTAATTGTATCTCATGAAGGAGAGAAGATAACATTTTTAAATAAATAAAAACCAGTGAAGATCTAAACCAGTGTTTTTCAAACTTGGCAACTTTAGGATGTGTGGACTTCAACTCCCAGAATTCTGAACTTAAAGTTGCCAAGTTTGAAAAACAGTCATCTAAACAATAGCTTAGGCCCATAAAAAAAAGTGTGCCTTCACTTTTCCATGCCACCTTCAATGCTCTATTTCTAAAGGTCTGGTAGAAGCAAATGATATAGGAGAAAAATGAAGTCTAAAATCATTTTGGGATTCAAGCACTTTATTATTTGAATTCTTATTTTAAAGAAAAGAATAATTTGTTGTCCCCTGCTAATATTCCAAAATATTCACCAGAGGCTGAACACCTTATTCTATTTGTTGAGATAATTTTGATAACAAAATTCTTTAATGCTATGCAGGATACCATTCATTCCATGCTTCTCACATCTGGGATTCCAGAGGGGCCTACTAGGAGAAATGGTATGATTTCTAAGCAAGTTTGGTATTTGATGCATTGTTGATGTCGCCATCATCATCATCATACTTCTTACACTTCAAGGTCCTACAAACTAGTCACTATACATGTAAATGCATTGGAACGATCATGTAAGTTACATTGGATATAGTTTTGTCACTAGGGGATTTTTACTTTATCCTGATGCTTATGCCTAAATTTGGTCTCAGGATTTCTTAAAAGCTTGAAATCTATTAATATAATTTAAGTAGATTTCCATTTAAAAAGCACCTGCCACATTGCATACAAATTTCTAAACACTGCAGGCTGTTGTTTTTGGAAGGACGAAATATTTCTATCACTATACAAATGCTCTTCCATCTTCTGGGTATGTATATCACATAGGGAATGTGTTTTACCAATCTCACTTTTTTTCCCAATCATGCCTTTAATTACACTAAAGAGCTTCACATTTCTTTCCATGCAAAGGACTCCACACCCATAAAAGAATCCATGCTGAACAAAGGCCTTGTGTCTAGTATAATACATTGAGGAGTCAGTACATAGAAAAACTGGTGTATGAGGCACTGTGGATTGGATATCTCCAACCTTTTATTTATGATACATTAATAAAATAGAAGGGGTAGAAATGGAAG